GAACCTCACAACTCGCACAGTGGTCGGCAGATGCTCCCAATGGTCAAGTGTTCGAACCTCACAACTCGCACAGTTTGATCCAACCTCTCAAGGCACTTTCCATATATATTGCACCCCTCATAGGCTGCGAAAAGACCTCTCGCACAACTCTCCATGTAATTTCTCAGGCCTTCGGAGCCCACCCTTGAGGATTTCACAGAGTCGTTCCCCTTCCCACATCCTTGCAAGTCGGGCAGAGCTGTCAGAGTCTGAGATCCCAACTCCCAAGTATGCCACAACACTCTTCCCAAGCCTCTTGCAGGTTAAGCCTGATGCCGTCGCATACTCAGCAGTGGGTATCCTCTGAGCCTTTGACAGAACTCTTGCCAAGCTTCTCGCCTCTCCCATGTCTTCTCCGCACCAAGGGAGAGTTCCTCCTCTGCCTCCCAAGCCTTGACAGGTTCGGACCGGGCCGCTCCCATGTCTCTTCCCAGCCATGTCGCGTTCGTCCTCTGAGACTCTCAACAAGCTCGTCCCGATCCCGTGACAGTTTCAGAGGTTCATGTGTCTCCCCCAAAGCATTATTCCCTGACTGGTCAGCTTGGGTAACCAAGTGCTTGGGATCTCTACCAGACACTGCACTTGAGTGCTGATTTTGCACATGGGAACACACACACACACAAAAAGAGAGAGAGAGAGAGAGAGAGAGAGAGAGAGAGAGAGAGAGAGAGAGAGATGACGTTTCCCGAGGTCGGGAGAAAGGCACAAATGGGTGGCATGAGATTACTGGCGGAGGAACAGATTGTTGAAATGTGGGCACAATGTGCGACGAGACCGAGGGTGCGCGATATGTACAACAGATCACCCAAACTTGAGAGATACATGGGAGAGGGAGGTAGATGCAACGGACCGCTGAAATTGGGAGACTCACAGAGAGATAAATGCGACACCCCTACGCAAAGCGGCGAAGACTACTGCATCTGCCATTGGCTGTATTTACCGCGCTATGATGATTCTCTTTCCATGACCATCACAATGAGGGTGAATTACAGAAATTGGAATACGCTCCACCACTGCACGGGTGTGAACCTTGAACCTACAAAGTACAATGTCATATACCGAACCTTTTCTCATTCAAAGGAACCTGCACACTTCTATAGAAGGAGAGCTTGAGAGAGCTTCCACACCACAAATCTGCAAAGGCGCCCTAATTAACCAACAGCTGCATCCCGACACTGCGCCTACCCCGATGGACTGCACACCGACAAGGCAGAACAATGCGGCTAGACATGCGACAGTTACACTCCAAAATGTGGACATGCTTCTTTGACCGATGATGCCTCGTGGAGCTCCTCGTTGATTGAAACAACAAGACGACCAACAAGATATTGGACTGGCACACATAGGAACCGCCATGAGACATGCTCCTAGGGAGATTGCATGGAACTGGCACACTGGACTGGCCATGGGATTTCCACGATTGCCAGGAATAGCACCAGCAGCAGGGATACATGTTCCCACAGATCTGCAGGGAAAGTCATCGCAGACCCCGATGGAACTGGACACCGACGAGACAGAACAATGCGGCCCGACATGCGACAGTCACTGTCCAAAATGTGGACATGCTTCTTTCACCCTTGATACTTCGTGAAGCTCGTCCTTGATCGAAACGACAAGACGACCAACAAGATATTGGACGGGCACACATAGGAACCGCACACGAGACATGCTCCTAGAGAGACTACATGGAACTGGCACACTAGACTGACCATGGGATAAGCACATAGGACCAGGGATGAGACTGGCACACATAGGAATAGCAAAAGGCCTATTCTTGCGAAACCATCGGAAGGCAAACAAATTACGACCAGCAAATAGACCTGGGCAGCATTCAGAACCAGCAAATACAAGCAGTCAATGTAAAGGTGGCCAAATTAACCAACAGCAGCACTACAACACTGGGACTACTCATCGCGGCAGCAGACAACAAGAAGAAAAAGAAGAAAAACTATGTCAATTGCACAGAGCCAGAGCCTACAGCTGTCTGCACACGAGACATGCTCTTAGGGAGACTACGTGGAACTGGCACACTGGACTGGTCATGGGACAAGCACATGGAACCAGGGATAGGACTGGCACACACTGGGACTCCTCATCGCGGCAACAAACAACAAGAAGAAAAAGAAGAAAAACTATGTCAATTGCACAGAGCTAGAGCATACAACTGTCGGCACACGAGACATGCTCGTAGGGAGACTACACGGAACTGGCACACTGGACTGGCCATGGGACAAGCACATGGAACCAAGGATAGGACTGGCACACATAGGGACAACAAAAGACCTATTCCTGTGAAACCATCACAAGGCAAACAAATTACGATCAGCAACTAAACCCCGGCAACATCGAGAACCAGCAAATACAAGCAGTCAACGTCAGGGATCAGCGGATGGAACCACCAAAGAACTGGCACACGGGACTGCCCATGCGATAAGCACATGGAACCAGACATGGGACTGACACATATAGGACGAGCAAAAGGCCTATTCCTACGAAACCATAACGAGGCAAACAGATTATGATCAGCAAGGCAAACAAATTATGATCAGCAAGTAGAACCGGGCGACATTTAGGACCCGGAAATACAAGCAGCCAACGAAAAAGGCTAGCAGATAGAAAAACCAACGTATGGGACCATGGGACATGCACAAGGTCCAAGAAAAAAAACAAAACAACAACAACAACAACAACAACATATGGGACCATGGGACCAACACAGGGCCCATTCAAAGAGAACCAACAGAAAAGGCAAATACATGAAATCAAGAGATAAGACTCGCCATGTCCATCTTTGGGACCATAAAAATAGCCCAACGTACATTGGAGACCATCAAATACAGTCGGAACGACATGTGCGTTCAGCAAACAGAAGCAGTCAGTATGTGGGACTGCTGCAAGGTCTATTCATGAGGGAAGGCAAACATATGGGCTCAGCACATCAAACTGGCCGCTAACTGCCCTCTTAATATTCACTGATTCTATACCGAACATTTCGTTGTCTAGGTATAAGAAAAAACTCTCCTTTCCCCTTCCCCACTGTTCGACGAAGATTACGCTTATTTTTTTTCGTTTTCTTCTGTCTACTTGGTCTACTTTCCACCCACTTTCTCCTTTCCCCTTCCCCACTGTTCAGCGAAGATTACATTTATTTTTTTCCATTTTCATCTTTGTCAACTTGGTCTACTTTCCACCCGCTTTCTCCTTTCCCCTTCCCACTATTCGGCGAAGATTACACTTATGTTTTTTCGTTTTCTTCTTTGTCTACTTGTCACCCGTTTTCTCTTTTCCCCTTCCCCACTGTTCGACGAAGATTACACTTATTTTTTTTCGTTTTTTTCTTTGTCTACTTGGTCTACTTTCCACCCATTTTCTCCTTTCCCCTTCCCCACTGTTCGGCGAAGATGACATTTATTTTTTTTCGTTTTCTTCTTTGTCTACTTTCCACCCGTTTTCTTTTTTCCCCTTCCCCACTATTTGGCGAAGATTACACTTTTTTTTTTCCATTTTCTTCTTTGTCTACTCGGTCTACTTTCCACCGCTTTCCCCTTTCCTCTTCCCGACTGTTCGGCGAAGATTACACTTTTTTTTCCCGTCTTCTTCTTTGTCTAATTTCCACCCGTTTTCTTTTTTCCCCTTCCCCACTGTTCGGCGAAGATTACACTTTTTTTTTTCGTTTTTTTCTTTGTCTACTTGGTCTATTTTCCACCCGTTTTCTTCTTTTCCCTTCCCCACTGTTCGGCGAAGATTACACTTATTTTTTTTCCTTTTGTTCCTTGTCTACTTGGTCTACTTTCCACCAGCTTTCTCCTTTCCCCTTCCCCACTGTTTGGCGAAGATTACACTTTTTTTTTTTTTTTTTCTTTTTTGTCTACTTGGTCTACTTTCCACCCGCTTTCTCCTTTCCCCTTCCCCACTGTTCGGCGAAGATTACTCTTATTTTTTTTTGTTTTCTTCTTTGTCTACTTGGTCTACTTTCCACCCGTTTTCTCTTTTTCCCTTCCCCACTGTTCGACGAAGATTACACTTATTTTTTCTCGTTTTCTTCTTTGTCTACTTTCCACCCACTTTCTCCTTTCCTCTTCCCCACTGTTCGGCGAAGATTACACTTATTTTTTTTCGTTTTCTTCTTTATCTACTTTCCACCCGTTTTTTATTTTTTCCTTCCCCACTGTTCGGCGAAGATTACAATTTTTTTTTCTTCGTTTTCTTCTTTGTCTACTTGGTCTACTTTCCACCCGCTTTCTCTTTCCCCTTCCCCATTGTTCGGCAAAGATTACACTTATTTTTTTTCGTTTTCCTCTTTGTCTACTTTCCACCCGTTTTCTCTTTGCCCCTTCCCCACTGTTCGGCGAAGATTACACTTATCTTTTTTCGTTTTCTTCTTTGTCTACTTTCCACCCGTTTTCTCTTTTCCCCTTCCCCACTGTTCGGCGAAGATTCCACTTATTTTTTTTTGTTTTCTTCTTTGTCTACTTGGTCTACTTTCCATCCGTTTTCTCCTTTCCCCTTCCCCACTGTTCGGCGAAGATTACACTTATTTTTTTTCGATTTCTTCTTTGTCTACTTGGTCATAGCAGACCGTGACGACGATAGGCTATTGCCCGGGGTGGTTAGCGGTTTGCGGCGGATTCTGGGATTGTTTGGTTTGGAAATGTGGTAATCCTTGGTTATTTCGGTTTCTCGTCTACCGTCACTATGGTGACATGTGTCACTTGTATGCGCTCACTTTGTTTTCACTGTGTCCTCACGGTGTCGTACTCTGTGTTTGTAAACCTGTGAACCACCATCTTCATATCTCTTACTGCGTACGTGAACTTGTCTGGAGAAGATCACCGGACTCAAGTGAGCGTAAATCACCTTCGTCTCATGTGACTGTTACTACGAAGACTGGAGAACTGTTACTATGAAGACTAGAGAACTGTTCAAATTCCTCGGAACGAGGTTACAGCGGCATTCTGCGGAGGCTATCTGCGTACCTGAAAACTGACGACGTTTTTCATGCACACATGGCCATCTGGAAGCTCACTTGAAGATGTTTAACTCGGAGCGGTATCCCGATGATCGGGATAGAAGGCCTGACCGGTCCATTGTGAAGTGCTTCAACTGTGAAGAGATGGGATATTATGCCAATCAATGTCCTCATCGGGAACGACGTTACAACACCAGTCGACCATCTACTTCTACAGACTCGAGACGGTCTCGCTCACCTCGGAAGTTCCCAGCCATACGGAACTATTCACCACTGAAACAAGACGATGGACTTCGCGACCAGGTTGCTGCACTATCGAAGGGAGTGGCCACGATCAAAGAGCACTTTAACATGGTGCAAGCCAAGAAAGATGAGAAGGCTCAACGGAAGCTCGAGAGAGAACAAAAGGAGGAGGAGCGATTACAAAAAGAGGAAGAAGAAGCACACCAATCGCAGGAGGTCGCGCGACATGAAGAAAAGAAGCGGAAGAAGGAAGCTAAAGCAAAGCAAGGGGCTACACTACGAGCAGAGTTGAAGAAGGAAGTCACAATGCATGCCGCCAAACTGATGATCGAGGTCAAAGACGATTGGATCCAACAGTGGAAGACCTCAGTCCTCCCTGAACTAGCTAGTGGGGGAGTGGATACGAAAGGAAAGAAGCAAGTGAAGTATGAACCAACGGCTAGCAGCAAGACGGATTATAGCACTGACGGGAGTGAGACGAGCGTAACTCAGGGTCTCAGCGAGAAGACCGATCAGTTGTACATTACTGAAAAGAGGAAACGTACGGAAGATGTATCGATTGGAGACAGCCCACCTATGGAGGCACCTCCGAAACGTACCCCAGTACAAGGGCGAGTGAAAGTGGATGACACATGCCACCAAGTGACTCGTGCCAGAACAAAGAGCACCAAGACTCCGATTCAGGCAAAACGACGTTCGTCGATCAAGACTCCGCTATCGAAGCTCCTGAAGTACCGCAAGACGTCCTCACCAAGTGGGAAGCTAACGCCAGCCAGCAGATCGCTCACCCGACTCCGCTATCGTGATTCCGTTATGAGAGAGTTCAAGGACTGCAACACCGATGAACTCCAACGCTTCTGCAAAGACGAAGGGATTCCATATGTCGGAAAAATCGATGCAATTTTCGATTTGGCTGAACATCGAGCTCAGAAGGAGTTTCCTTGCATCGTGCCAGCTTCCGAAGTAATTCCGATTAGTGAATCCACGGAGCCCGAAGTTGATGCATCAACGGAGAACTTGGAGTGATGTGATTTTCATCCCTCCCGCTGGTTTGAATGTTGTAGATACATCACCAGTAAGCGATGTTCTCAGAATGTTATTGACCGGAAGTTGGAAAAGTTGTTGCTCTTGATTGTAATCCTGCTAGAATTAACGAATCAGGTTAGATGGCTATGTAAATATGTCGTCTATTGGGTTAGATTGTATAGCCAGTTTGGATTGGATTTTCTTGATAAAGCTGGGGTCGTCTATGCTGCAGTGTCCCCTTACTGTAGACATCTCTATGTCGGCAAGACTTTCCGTACAGTTGATGTTAGATGGCGGAAATATTTGTATGTCGTACGTAAGCGCACGCAATCACACTTTCATCGTTGGATCTCACGGTATCGACAATTATGTTTTGCTCCCTGTGGACGTGTTTGAAGGTCAGGATCTGAAAAGTTTGGAGAATTTGTACATTTTCCGATAGTCTCCTTTTCTGAATTCTACTGGAATTAAGTCAAGAAAAAAATAAGGCAAACATAAACCTGGACGTAAGGAACGAGACAGGGAAAAGATCAAGGGAATTGAAGTGTCATCCAGTAGGAATGTCCAACCGATACGGTTTTGGTCCATCGATAAGGAGTACCATTTTTTGGATCTTTTTCGGTTTCTGGATTCCTCCCTTGACACGGGAGTTCCACCTGGACGAGTGAGATCAGATGGGGGTAAGGACTGGACTCCTAACTGGAAGAAAATCTCCCGGATGTTTGGGGAAAGTAAGGTTAAATTCGGTACAGACGTTCAGCCACTTAGGACTTGTAAGAACTTGTTGGAGCAGGGAGGTGTTTTTGAAATTTTGCATGTTGTGAAATGAAAATCGAAGTGCAGATACCTGAAGAATATTCTTATTGGTATCTTGAATAATCCAAACAAACTAAAATATGTGTATAAATGGGGCATGAAAGCCATTCTGCGACTTTATCGTGTGATTAAAGATTTCTCCAGGAAATCAACTCATAAATATTTACGTAGATTGATTTCACGTTGCTTCAGGGATCGCTTTGGTCTAAGTCTGGCTTCTGACCTTACCTTTCGGATTAAGTTTGATGATAGAGTTGTGATTTCCGAGGTTCGTAAAGCGGCAAATGATTTGCTCATGAGATGTCAACTTCCACGTTATTTCATTCTTCGCGCTCGGAGAAAGATTCGCATAGTGGGAACAAAAAATCCTACTATTGCTGATTTGTTGCACAATCATAGAAGAACTTCTTCTAACAGTGTGCTTACCTGTAATTGTACAGGTTTTGGCCTTCCCCGCGTGAATGGTCATGTGTTGTTCCGACTCAGTGAGGTAGCAAATTTGAACCCACTTTTGTGTAATGCGAACAATATTCCTATTGTGGAACGTGGTGATCGACTCAGTCTCTTACGCGATGAAATCTGTGTCGGTTTCAAGACCTGGAAGAATCTGAATGGACTCCTTCCTGACTGCTCTGACTTGGACCTAACATCGTGTGTCTCTAATTTTGTTCCTATGACCAACTGCCTACCTGTACAGGAGATTATGAGGTTGAAAGACAGGTTAAAGGGTCTCGTGATTTCAGGGGTCGACAGAAACCCAGGCGAGACCGTAGTTATGTGCCCAAGCACGTACTACGAGGCGATGATGCAGACTTTTGTCTGTAATCCCGGATATCGCATCGTTACCTATTCAGAAGCTGAAGCTATCCGGGAGCTGAAAGAGGACCTATCTCGACGAGGATTAACCAAAGTTGTCTAGTGGGATAACTCGGGGACATTCGGCCCCACCTATGTCATCCCTAAACATAAAGACCTAAGAAGATTTAGGCCTATTTGCCTGTCTTTTATGGAACCGATGGTGCGCACTTCTCGCCTGGTAAGCAAAGTCCTTAATCATCTGTTGTACAGTCTGCCAAAAAATTGGCATTTTAATCTGCGATCTGTCTCGGACCTAACGAAGAACCTTAACAATCTGAATGTGAAGTTCAGTCAGTTGGGTGGTAAACGACTCATCTCCGCTTACTCATTCGACGTCAAGGAAATGTTCAGTAAATTGCCACATGATACATTGTTACAAGCTATTGATTGGATTGTGGATCACTTCTTGACCAAGGGCTTTGACCAGATTCGGGTCAATACACGGGGGAAGGGAGCTTCCTTCGGAATTACCACAGGCTCTGATCACTGGAAAGTCTTCAAACTCGTGGATGTGGTGAAGTTTGTTCATACTGAAGTGAAACACACCTTCTGTTATGCTACAGGTGTCCTGCTGAAACAAGAGCAGGGAGTACCGATGAGGAAAAGTATGAGTCCCCCTATCGCCCGTATTATGTGTGCCTTTTCTGAATACCAGATGATTTGTACTCTGGGTCGATTTCGTTGTTGCTTTGGTGCTATAAGGTTAATCGATGACGTCCTGCTAGTAATTTCCAGTAAGAGCGAGGACGTGAGATTGAAGATTCTGGAAGCTCTTTTGGAATGTTATCCCCGCAATCTGACGCTGAAGCGTAATGATGATGGGACAGGAATCCTAGACTTTTTGGGTTGTCAAATTCGCACGGAACAGGATTTTCCGTATCTAAGCAGCGTTCAGCTGTCCAAAAATGAATCCAGTCTCTGGACTGGGGAACCTCTGAAGATCCAGAATGGACAATCCTTCCATTCATGGGGAAGTCGAAAACAGAAGAGCGTCGTGATAGGTAGTCATCTTCACCACATCGACCAGAACACCTCATTACGGTCTGAGATTCCCAATAAAGTTTTGGGACTCCAACAGGAACTGTTGAAGAAAGACTTCCCAGAGAAGTTTGTTAATCGAGTGTTTCGTCGCTTTGGCAACAGAAGAGATGGGTACTGGCGGAAAACGATGGATTTGATTTGTGACTACTAGAACTCGAACAGGGTTATTGGTTGTTGAACTGGCGGAGGATTATGGATTCAATTTTGGGGTTATTAGGATCCGAACAGGGATATTGATGCTGAAGAAGTCTGTTGTGATTTTCTTTCTTTATTTTTCTACCTTTTGTATGGGGTCCGATATCGGTTCCGTTTCAATCAGATACGTAGGCCTGTGTTTACAGTAAGAAGACGTGGTCCGACAAAGATTCAACTCCGAACTATCCGATTCGTCAAGCCTTTGTTTACAGTACGTGAGTTCGACGCGGAACGAAGATGTGGGACCGATTTTAAACCTTTGTGTTTTTCGTTGAGTCTAGTTTTGAATCAAGAGGACAGCCCCACCTCGAGTGAGGAGGTGTCTGCCCGATGTAGCTTTGAACTTTGACGTCACTGGACTATAAGTAGGTAGATGATCGCTGAACTTATTTTATTGGGTTCCTGCAGCACATAGCAGACTGTGACGATGGTAGGCTATTGCCCGGGGTGGTTAGCGGTTTGCGGCGGATTCTGGGATTGTTTGGTTTGGAAATATGGTAACCCTTGGTTATTTCGGTTTCTCGTCTACCGTCACTACGGTGACAATTGTCACTTGTATGCTCTCACTTTGTTTTCACTGCGTCCTCACGGTGTCATACTCTGTGTTTGTAAACCTGTGAACCACCATCTTCATATCTACTTTCCACCCGCTTTCTCCTTTTCCCTTCCCCACTGTTCGGCGAAGATTACACTTATTGTTTTTCGTTTTCTTCTTTGTCTACTTGGTCTACTTTCCACCCGCTTTCTCATTTTCCCTTCCCCACTGTTCGGCGAAGATTACACTTATTTTTTTTCGTTTTCTTCTTCGTCTACTTTCCACCCGTTTTTCCCTTTCCCCTTCCCCACTGTTCGGCGAAGATTACACTTTTTTTTTTTCGTTTTCTTCTTTGTCTACTTGGTCTACTTTCCACCCGTTTTCTCCTTTCCCCTTCCCCACAGTTCGACGAGGATTACACTTATTTTTTTTCGTTTTCTTCTTTGTCTATTTTCCACCCGTTTTCTCTTTTCCCCTTCCCCATTGTTCGGCGAAAATTACACTAGTTTTTTTCGTTTTCTTCTTCGTCTACTTTCCACCCGTTTTGTCCTTTCCCCTTCTCCACTGCTCGGCGTAGATTACACTTATTTCTTTTCGTTTTCTTCTTTGTTTACTTGGTATACTTTCCACTCACCTTTCTTCTTTACCCTTCCCTGATGTTCGGTCATGATTACACTTATTTTGGCCCGGTCGGGCAAGTGGACCCGGGTCACTCTGGTAGCCTAGTGTTTCTTTTTTTTTCTTGGTTGTGTACTTGGTATATGTATATATATTTTTTCTATTTACCCCTTCCCTATACTTCGCCGAAGATTGCATCTATTTTTCTTCCACGCAACTCAGATGAAGGATGAATTTTTGCCCAAACATAATAATAATTGGAAACAAGTTGGGGAGGGGGGGGACTACCCACCGCACGGTGCGCCGCACAATTTGGACTCCGTCTGTTTTCTTTTGTTTTCTCCTTTGTTTACTTGGTCCACTTTCTACCCGCTTTCTCCTTTCCCCTTCCCTAATGTTCCGTGAATATTATACTTATTTTTTTCATTTTTTTTTTATCTACTAAGCTAGGCTACCAGCCGGGCCGCCTCGGTCACCCTATTTTCCCGGGCAGCCTGGCCGTGCAACGACAAAGGAAGGTCCCAAAAAAAAAAAAAAAAAAAAAAAAAAAAAAAAAAAAAAAAAAAAACCTA